CACAATTAGTGTCAGAACGTACTGAAATGCAGGAGCCACAGCCAATGGGGGATGGACGCGTGGCGTATGATATCACATCGAAGACAGAGAAACCGCATGCCGTTGCTGACACGCGACTTGGGAAAGCAAACGATTAATTACACCATTCCCTTGATGAGACCGCATTCAATGCGGTAAGGCTCGGAAATGAAAGGCAATAAATGCTCCTAATACAGAGCATTTATTGCATCCTCCCCGAGAGGAGTACATTGTATCGTCGGCATCCCGATGATACAGCATTGATTGCTCGGGACCCCGAGCAGTTAAGAAGAGAAGACATTCCTCATCAGAATCAGTGCGCACACTACCTGTACCTAATGATCACCTACTGACTACACTGACAGCAATCATGAGCTTTTGAGGTATAAATACTCCTTGCAAAAGGCAAGACGGGTATGCAACAAAAAACTTTTTACTACAATACACACTCAGTGTTTTCTCCTTCCTCTCTGTTTCTCAAAGACTGACTAGATCGTCGGAGGGGATACGCCAGAAAACACTCCGGCGCCCTTCTAACTTGTTCTTCTTTGTTCCAGGAACCTCTTTCAGCCTTACTAGATCGTTCTTCCGCTCCCCCAGGGTCTCCCGTTGCCGTTCCAGGTTACCACTGGACCTCGCAGGCTGTTCCAAGCAGCGTGATTGGTCACTCAACTGGCTCACTCGAGTTCACCAAGGAAGAGATCTGTTCTCATTTTTTATATTGTGCAGGATCTTACACGCACAGGAACTTTCCTTGAAAATAGAAGGTATTTTGATTAAGCATGTGTTTTTAGGATGTGCACTCCTATGCAATTGTTAGACAGAAAATTGGGCGACACTGGACGAGGCATGTCAAAAAGGAATGTAAAGCCTGATAGCGGACTTTTCAGGCTGTTTGTTTAGCATAAATCGAATACATACAATCACCCATAAATCACATGCATTAGTTACACCCAAATTTTATGCAATTAAGAGAACCCGAACTCAGTATATACGGTTTTACGTCTGGCCCTTTATTCTACCTGATTGTTGACTGTGGACTGTGAAGTTGTTACTGAATGTAATCAATGAGAGGACACATGAAATGGGAAAAGATTGTGGACAAGTTCTAATTTAATTGTTTTTGGTTAGATTTACTGAGGTTGCACATGGAGATTATCTGCTTGGACTTTTGAGGCTGGGTGGTGAATAAAGTGCAGAATTTTCCAGGCTGTATTGGATATAAAAATAAGGTACGATTGATAAGCTGCTACTGTAGGAAGATTCAGAGGAACCTTGGCTCAAGAAAGGGTGGGATATGGATTCTTTTTGTCTTTATGCTTTTTAGACAATGATATTCTCTTCCTTCAGTTGTAGTTTTAAAAACTTTCGATAGAGATAGAATCGTAAATTCAGATGTTTTGAATTTGACTCTTGATAATTATTTGATGTCAAGTCATGAGAAATAAATTTCTCATAAATACTCTATTCTGGCGTGAATAATCTGCTTTTAACATGATCGGAAAGGAGATTAATTGAGGTGTGTATAAACTGATTCGAATACCCTGACCGAGATTGATAAATCAAAAAAAAAGAAAAAAAAAAGATGTAGCTCTAAAAAAAGCTAGGTTTCTCCCTCTTATCTTGTATATTTATTTCAAAGCCTATTAAGTCCTCTAGCTAGAGGAACCTCTACGATTGATGATGGTGATTAACTATTTACGCAAAGTTAACACGTAAAACTATTTAATAGTTTCTGCGTAGAATTAGGATCATTCTGTGATGGTTGTTCACTCTGAAAACTTGAACATGTGACTAACTAGCCTCCTAGAAAATTTCACGCAAGATACATTAGCCATGTGCCACAACCCCGATAGGGGCTTAGGCTTCTCAGCAGACCCGGACAACTGAGAAATAGCCCAAATCCAGTTGTTATAGACGCCAAGTATGAAGCATGTCTTGGTAACCAAAATTCTCCGTGGTGGAGTTGGGGAGATTCACCGTGAGTAGGGGATGTGGGAAACACCATAAAATCAAATAGTATAAATATAATGCAAGCCAAACTATTTGCAAAATTGGGGATGTAGCTCAAATGGTAGAGCGCTCGCTTTGCATGCGAGAGGCACGGGGTTCGATCCCCCGCATCTCCAACTGATAAATTTTTTTTGGTTAATTTTATTTTGCACCTCAAAGATAAAAAATCTCAATTTCCACTCTCAAATATAGAAATTTGTATCATTATGCACCTAAAACTAAATTTATAAATTATACCTAGATCCCCTCATGTTTGTCACTTAATCATTTGAACCTCTTTACATTTAGAATATTACTCCTACATCTCAAGACATTTATGCACGTACAACATGTAACTCATTTTCATTGATATCTATTAATATAACCGTTAAAAAATATAATTTTATCCTAATAAAAAATTATAATTTCATATTACCCTTATTTTATGGGTCCAATATACTCTAAAGTTCAAAATCAAGCTTACCATTTGAATGTCTAATAAAATGTAGATATTTATATAATGTTTTTCATGGTAAGCTTGATTTTGAACTTTAGAGTATATCGAATCTACAAAATAAAGGGTAATAAGAAATTATAATTTTTTATTAGAATAAAATCATATTTTTTAACGATTATATTAATAAATATCAACGAAAAGTGGTTATGTTTACACATGTACAAACGTCATGAGATGTAGGGGTAATATTCTAAATGTGAAGGAGTTCAAATGATTAAGTGACAAACATGAGGGGATCTAGGTATAATTTATCAATTTAGTTTTAGGTGCACATTGATACAGATTTCTATCTTTGAGGGTGCAAAATCATATTTTTAATCTTTTGGGGTGTACATTGATACAAATTTCTATTTTTGAGGGTGCAAATTGAGATTTTTGATCTTTGGGGTGGTACATTGATACAAATTTCTATTTTTGAGGGTACAAATTAAAATTTTTGATCTTTGAGAGTACAAATTAAAATTCGAACGATCTTTCAAGGTACAAAATGAGATTAACCCTAAATTTTTTAAAATAAAATAGAGGGTCTTTGGGCGAATCTCATTTTATACCTCAAAAAATGTTTTGATTTATAATTTATACCCTTAAACATTAAAAATTTTAAATTATACCCTCAATATTATGAATTGGTAGCAATGTAAACCTCATTCAAATTTTCGTTTAATTTCTTTGTCATAAATTAAAACAAGTGAGTTACAAATACTTCAAACATAGACTTATGTCTAAATTTACAAACTGTTGATACTCGAAGTACTTGCACCTCATATACTTTTATTACATATTGATACCAATTCATAACATTGATGTTACAAATTGAGATTTTCAATATATAATGGTATAATTTAAAATTTTTAATAGTTAAGGATATAAATTTAAAAATTTAATATTGAAGGGTATAAATTAAAATTTTTAATATGTAAAGATATTAATTATAATTTTTAATATTTAAGAATATAAATTAAAAATCAAAATATCTTTCAGCATATTAACCCATAATCTTTCAAAAAAATGGATTTGGACAATCGGATAAGAGTCGGGTCAGATTTTTACATCCGAAATCCTTTCGTTGAAAGCCTACCAGCATCAGCATGTGATGTGACATCCCCTTATCCCCTCCAATGTCCATATTCCCGCCAAAATCCCCCATTCCACCGCTATTGTCGTACCTGTCCGAACACTAAGAACAGCATATTCAACAGTCGTAGTTCAGAATTAAGGCGATCTCTCGCAGTGACGCCGCCGATTTACTTTCAGTCATCTCTCTCATTCCTCCTGTTCATCAACCCGGCCCAGCCACTGCATTCTCTTCCGGCATTATTTCTTTGAATTCTCTCTAACACGCTAATGGAATGGTGTTTATCAATTATTCTGTTTGGATTGCTTTAATTGATCAGTTTCATTAAATTGATAGGCTAATTGACTTCGAATGATAGTTCTGATAATGGAGACAAGGACTTGGAAGAAATCCAAACGTTGCCGAAGTCAGTTGCTAGGAATTGCGTTCTAGAAGGGAGGAGAAACTCTTTTGTTTCATTTCAAGCTACCACAGGAGTAGAGGTTTTCGTATTCTCTCGTAATTTTCTAGGTTAGAATCTAAATCATATTTCTCAGTTGTTGTGTATTATAAAAAACAACTAGTTACAAATTTACAGGACAAGGAAATATGTTACAATCCTAGTGAAAGGCATACATCATCGTATGTAATTGTTTTATAATTTAGGGGCGCACCTTCTGTTTGGTTGTGAAGAATGCTTCTTCATAGCTTGATGACGGGACTGGAAGCTGAAGCTAAACCCAGTGATCCCACAAAGTATGTTTATAATACTTCTTATTTGATTTCTTTTGACATATTACTCGAATTTTTAGGTTGTAACTTTGCTAAGGTTCTATTTAATTGTTGCTAAGCATGTTTTTTGTTAGTTGTGTGCTGAGTTTTATTATAAGCTAGTTTGTTCGAGCTTTCATAAGTTTCATTTTGCATGATGATCCCTACAAGTGCATCTAGTTGCTAAATTTTTCCTTTTACTTGTCCGATCAATGATGGATTTTCACCAAGGCAAAACAGTTCTAATTAGCTAGAGATGAAAAACTTGTTTTAGATTACCTGATCATTTATCCAGTAATTCTATACAACTCTGGCGTCTTGTTTTTGTATTCATTTTGTATCAATGCAATCAAAACTCCATTCATGCTTATTCAAAATGGAATTTTCAAATTGAACTTGGATTTGAATCGTTCAAAATTTGATGATTGACATGTCTATTTATAGTTTGTTTGAAGAATGGTTTATCAAAATAATATTTCCCATGAAAATTATTCTAACACTAGTACTTCCTATAAAATAAATTTCATATACTTTTCTTAATTAGGTTATATTTTTTCACATGTAAGTTATGCGGGAAAAACTTTTAAAGCAACAAAACAAAAAATTATCATGAAAAATTACTTTATTAATAGTGTAAATGACAAAACACTCGTATCTGCAAGACACAATAAATTTTGATGATTGTTCTTCAATCGTTCTCCTCAACGTGATGATTGCCCTCACTAAAAATAGACTCTGGCTCTGCCCCTAGTGAAGAGGATGTCTTTGTGACTCAAATCTTGATGCCCAGATCATAATGGAACAACTTTAAATGAAAGCTGCTAATTGGAACACATAAATGTAAAATCTTCCCCAGAAAAGATTAAGTTGTGCTACCAAAGAATATTCATAAATTTTGTTTATCCCGGTATAAATTTCGAACTTGACCGGACATTATTGAACAGCCTAGACGTATGTTGCAATTTTGTTCCCAAAATTCAATTAAGATTTCTAAGGCTGCACTAACAAATAATGATGCCTATACCTCTGCTATTATTGCAAGTTGGGGCAAGTATAGTATCAAGTCTTGTGTTATGTTGCCTTCTATGCGATAGTATGATTGGGTGAGCCACAAGCCTTCACGAAATACAAGCGACAACATGGTGTTCCGTCATCTGGGTGAATTTGTAATGATCGGGGCAAGCTGCGCAGCTTATTAAACAGATTCTGTGGATCATGCAACAGACCAAAATGGGCATCTGGGTCCCCAATTTGTGAAAGCTTAACATCTGAAAAACCTAGTGATGGCAGGAGGTGATCAGGCCAATCACTATAGAAATCGAACATAGAGCTCGACAGCGTGATTGATTGTTTGTTCATGAAGTCTGCTAAGAGGACTGTGCTGGTATGAGTGATGTTGGCTGCTATAACATGCAGCACCTCCATGGCGTTCGAGTGGGAAAGGTAGTAGAGTATACCTTCTAGAACCCACACTGTATTTTTCTCTGGTACAAATCCTGATGTCTGAAGCTTTTCGAACCAGTCATTGTCTCTGATGTCAGCTGCAACTCTGCTTAGAGATTTTGCTATTGTCTTGAGATTCTGAAATTCATTTGTTGAATCAGTTGCTGCCTGTAGAATATTGGATTTCATTTGCAAGACCTCTAGAAAATCGACCTCAAAAACATTGCTTTCTTTCAAGCAACTCAGACGGTATGCCCTTCCATCCATTCCTGCAGGTAAGCAAATACATATGCCTCCAAATTTTAGTCTGCGTTATGCTATCCTTTGAAAAAGGTAAATAATGGACATGCTGATTTGTTATGTACAAGTCTTTTAAAGTAAGGGGAGGGTAGAGCTCTTTGTTGGAAGAAAGCATACCCTGGCATGCAACATGGACATGGGACACTTAAACGGTCAATCCAGTCCCCTGTTCGTTCTCTATGGCTATTCCTGATTGTCCGCAGCCCTAAAGTTAGATTGATCAAATCATCTTGGGTCTTCTTTACAAAATGCTTTAGTTTTTGTCAAGTGTTTAGCCACTGTTAACTTTCCTCTAGATAAACAATTTTCTACTCATGAACCTCCATTGTGCAACTTAGTATGCATGTGGTCTATATTTTTACAAAACAAATTGGACTATAAATCTTTTCTGTGGAAAAGATATACTTAATTTAACTTAACAAAATCTTGTCCTAGTTTTTTTGGGTTGACAAGTTAAAAGGGCATTTTTTGTGTAACTTAAATCGGTTAGTGATATTTGAACTTCAACTCACCTTACTAGAAGATAAGGTGGATGAACCACACATATACAGTGGAAGTGATTGTGCACCAATGTTGGGCTATTGTAAATCCAAAATTATAGATCATGTACTTTAAAGTAAGCATATTTTTGGACGGCATTGCTTCAGTTTGTTATTATACACAATATTAGGTACTGAAATACAAAAAGAATTGGGCAGCAGATTCACCAACCTGCTCCAAGAAGAACAACTTGTGTCGCTCCACCATCGAAGGAATTGATAGCATCTTCGATTTTCGAATCAAACCACAGAGTCCGAACAGCAAGAATCACGCCAGAGATTTCCCTGGCATTGTTGAGACGGTCTTTCTTAATCTTCTCATAAATGCTTCTCAGGTATGTCTCTCCTGCCAATAACTCTGCAAGAGGATCATGGATCACATGTTTCCACAGTGCTCTTCCCGCTGCAGTCTGACACGCTGATCGTCGGAGAGAATCCCAGTCAGTTTCAATGGCTGCGTGGAGTTTCCCGACAGTGTCAGTATATGGTAAGCCAGGCAGCTCTAGTTCAGGCCATGTCTGGTCTTCTGGCTGGCTATTTTCATGAACAGACATGCTTAAATTATGCTGAATATCGTACAATAATATAAGGAAAGAAAGTGAAGAGATAATGCAATGAATATATAGTGAAAAGGGTGTTGGAGATTGGAGAGATTGTAGTTAGGGATAAGGAAAGAGAGCCAGCCACACATAAAACCATCGTCTGAGAAAGCAGCTCTAACGTATCTTGTTTCTTTGCCTTGATGAAAAAGGGGGTAATGAGGGAGTCCACGTCTACCACCAATTCATAAATCCTGCTCTTCAAGACCTTTCTCTCTCTGGAAAAAGTAATGCTGAATGGCTCCCACTTGAAACGATGGTGGTCGTTCACTGTTGGGCTAAATTAAAATTGACGCCTCTGTTATAGTCAATCACCAACTACTCTTTTGTTTTCTAATTGCAAATGCTGCTTCTGGAAAGTTTTTTTTTTTTTTTGGTCTTGAAAAAAGGGGTGGGGGCAGTTGTGGGAAGGTTTTGGGTGGTTGTGGTAATTGATGGAACCTGTTTGCCTGGTAAAGTTTTTTCCTTATTTTAAAAAATAACAAATCTAAGTAACATTTTTTTATATTTAATTTATTCTGTTTTCCCTCATGCGGATTTGTTCTATTTCTCTAATATTTAATCACATGCATAGTGAAACACATCACACATGTACAGGGACGGAGCTAAGCCATCCCCCCCCCCCCCCCCCCCCCC